TATACACATGTATTTATGTATGTATGTATGTATGTATGTATGTACGTATGTATGTATGTATGTATGTATGTATGTATGTATGTATGTTATGTGTGATCTAACACATAAGTTTAGGGCTTTGGAGTTTGGGTCAAGGCATTTGCCGGGTGGGCTTTAGGGCTTGCGGCTTGGAGTTTGGAGATTGGTTTCAGGAGTTGGGGGCCAGATTTTGTTTACAAACCCGCCAGCATGAGAGTCCAGAAATTAAGTCACCAGGCATCACCATGACCATGACTACGACTAGGGCAATCCATACCAACCTTAAGGAGACCACAGCATTAAACTATGGTTCCTACACCCTAAACCTTTAATCAAAAAGTTTCAAAGCCTTATGCGACATTCGCAAGGTCCTGCGGAAAAAAATCCCCAGCCTAAGGCGAAAGACCACGCGAGGCTGAGCTCTCGACCTGGCTGGACAGAGACGAAATCAAGATGAGTTGAAATGAAGTAGAATAGGGGTTGTATACTGTAGTATACATATATATCTATATATAGAGAGAGAGAGGATCTGGGACTCTGTTTCCAGTTCTTACGACCATATACCACTTAGAGCTTACGGGTTTCGATTTCTAGTGGGTTAGGAATACGGAATTTTGGAAAAAGATTAGAGTCTTAGAGTGTAGAGTTTACAGCCTGGGACTTGGGGATTGAGGATTTCAGGCTTCTTTGGTTGGGATCTAGAGTTCAGAGCTCATGCTCTCTGGGGCTCCGGGTTTAGGGTGTGAAGCTCGGAAGTTTAGGTTGAAGGTTGTAGTTTTCAGATTTGGGGCTCCAGTTCCAAAGGAAGAGACAAGAAAAGTCAGGAGAGCGGACCAACGATGCCAGCTGAGGAGAGCAGCTCGCAGTATGGGGGTTTCAGACAACAGGGGACCCTAATATAGTACCCTAAATAGTAGGATCCCTATTATAAGGACCCCAAAATAGGGTACCCTCATTTTCGGAAGCTCGCAGTATAGATCCTCATGCAACTTGCACGCCCTAAGCACGCTGTGGTCTCGCACAAGTCGGGGGTGTACTCGAAGCCTCGTGGGTAGCCTCTAACGGCTCTACAAGAGAATGGAGCCAGTCGTCTTCGAACTTCCTATAATATAGGGGCCAATAATTAGAATAGGGTTTTGGAGTAAGTTCTGATATAATTCTAAGAAGGGACCCCCCAAAAAATGATGTAGGTAATTAGTAAGGCCCCTATCTTAACCCAACTTATCGGAGGCTAGGACCCTGAACCTCAAGATCCTAAGCCCTTGAAGCATGAACCCCCGAGCCGAAACCACTTTGAACCTAACGGCGTTGGGGGCCCGAAACCTTTTTTTCCTCAAAATCCTGAACCCTAGGTTACCTGGCCCAACTCCTGAAGTCCCTGCTCAAAAGCCCTAAAGAGACCCTAAAGAAACCTGGTAGAACTTTTTGAGAAACCCAAGAGCCCAAGACGAAGCCTCCGCCGGGTACACATTCCACGCAACAGTCGGAGCCTTGGAAATGAAGAGAGAGAGAGAGAGATTGAGAGACCCCAAAGCCTCTAAACCCGAAACTTAAACCCCCTAAAGCCCTAAACCCTAAACCGTAAACCCCTAAACCGTAAACTTAGCAAATCTTCCTTCGTTTGAACGTGGAGCCAGAATGAGGGACCTTTAGTTAAAGGGGCGAATTGATTGGAGGGGGTTGCGAATATTGGGCCGTGAGGGTTTGTGATGAGAGGGCTGTTTTTTTCATGGTTGGCCTTAGCAGAAATCGATTCGGTTTGGGAGGTGCAGCTTGAGGGTTTTCAGGTAGTGTTCCAACTGATGAGTTGGTCCCAAAGGTTCAAGAATTAGAGTTTGTGTATGGCCAGTTGAGTCTTGATTTCGTGCTGACGATGATTGCGATGGTGGTCGCGGCGGTGGTGGTGGTGGCTGTGGTGGTGGCGGCGGCGGTGGTGGTGGCGGGGGTGGTGGTGGGGGTGGTGGCGGTGGTGGCGTCATCGTTTTGGTATCGTGGTGCTTCTGAATACCACTACCGTTATTACTGATATGGGAAGACTACTGATGCCGGGCTAATCAGAAACGGTATGCTTGAGTATGTGTCGTATGGTAATGTACCATAAAACGTAATGTCGTATAGTATAATACAATACAACACAACACAATACAGTACAGCACAAGACAAGAAAATCTACTGTGACTATCATACAACAAAAGTAAAACGTAACATGACAATTTATAATACAATGTCTGATGATGTGATGTCATATAGTATGAAATGAGTCAAATGAGAATAAAATACAACTTCTCATAAAACCAAACCTAACATAACATAACACAAAACACAAGACAACATAATATAAAATAGTATGATATATGTGCACAAGCGAAGGGACCAAACAAGGGATCTTGTGATGAATGAACAAGACCTCCAGATTGCTTTCATCACGCTGGGGCGGGCTCTGGGGCTCTAGATGAGCGAAAATGCTAGAGGACTTAATGCCAAACCTGGAAGCAAAGAGGCTTTAGCAGGTTCAGGTATCTAGTGCGCAGGTCATTGCAATGTTGACAGACGCAGCTGCCTGCTCTGAACTTTCTTGCAATACAGCGCAGAAGTTTTTAAACTTCCAGGCATCCAAGAACCTATCTAACATCAGGTACCCCCCACTATGCAGAACAATGTAAAGCTTTGTCTGTATGACAGCTGCGGCTCGAACTCTGTGGGGCTGTGCTGTAGTCCCGAAATACCATGCAACATCCGGCATGTGACGGACAGAGAAGGCATGCGCCCATGTCAGGGGTTCGGGGAGCTCTCGCCAGATGGACAACAACAAGTACTGGAGGATCGCTTGAGTGTAAGGCACGGCAACAATGAAATGCTAGAAACACCGATCGAGAGAAGCAGGCTAGCCATGTAGCCTCCAGAACCAGCGCAAAGAATCCGGAGGAATGGTCTCCTCTGATTCCTGGGACATGACCGGCTCGTAAAGATTTGAAAGCTGAAACACGGTCGGGCACCAAACAGCTGCTCATCTTGTCAATTTTCAACCGGCATACGACAGAGAGGGAGAGAGATGTAAAACATAGTGACGACGAGAAGCTACTTTGCAACCGTTTGACTCCTTCCTGTGGTGGTAGCTTCAACGACTAGCATCCTAAAACAAGATCCAAAGCAGTGGTATCCTTCCCCAAACCCTTACTGAAAATGAAGGAGCCCCTCATGCGAAGAAACCAAACTTAATCAACTTGTCAGTCAGTCAGTCAGTCAGTCAGTCAATCAATCAATCAAGCGACCTGCCAGCCAATCAACGAGTCTATCGATCATTAAATAAAGCAAGCAAGCAAGCAAGCAAGCAAGCAAGCAAGCCAGCAAGCAAGCAAGCTACTCGTCTATATATCTATCTAACTATCTATCTATCTGTCTCTAATCAACCCGCCTCTGCCACAGCCGGAGTCTGCTGCTCCTCGACGCGGTCGTAGAACTCCTGTTCATCACAGAAAGTCCAGCATGCCCTACTTAAGAAGCTTACTTGAATTCGACCAGGGATCCTGAATGTGATTTAGAGTATCTGGCTCAATCAAGGCATCTAGGGCCCGCGGGTTGAAAGTGCAGACTTGCGATCCGCTTGCGGCGAACGGATTCCACAGGCCCACAGGGGAGGGAATAGAGTTAAAGGCTTACTTAATGTAGAAACCTTTATAATTAGATAGGGTTTTGGGGGGTGTATTATACTATAGCTACAATAAGGAATCCCCACGATAGTGCTGGTGATTCTTCAGGCCCCCATGCTAGGCTCAAGGCTTTCGAGTCTAGTAGGGTCTACTTGGAGCTTCATGGGTAGTTATAAGTGGGGTTATAAGTAAGGTAACTATAGTTATAACCCATATTAGGGGGCTTATAACCCCACTTGTAACGGATGGTCTGAGGCTGCCGGTGTTGGCTCGGGCTTCAGAAACAAGCAGCAAGACTTTGCCTCTCCAAACACTTCAGCCCTGATAAGACCTGTATCAGAGGGTTTAGGGTTTAGGGTTTAGGGTTTAGGGTTGAAAAACCCCAAACTCTGAACCCTGAATCCCTGAAGCTTCAAAGCCCGACTCTAAGCCCTAAATCCCTAAAAGGCTTTTGATCCTAAGCTCTGCCCTCTAAATCCCAAAAGCTTGAACATCCTACACTCTAAATAGAAACTTAAATCCCTCAAGGTTTGAAACCCCTAAACTCTCGACCCTAAGTCCCTAACCCCGTGACTCCCCAAACCTCGCTCCTGCGTCCGAGAGCCCACCTGCAGGGACGAGTGGCGCTTTGAGGCTCAGAGGGGAGTAGGTTTCCAGACTTCCCAGTAACCCCGTGACCGGGGTTGTCAGAGGGTTCGACCTAAACCCTAAACCCTGAACCTAAACCCTAAACCCTAAACCCTAAACCTGAGCTCAGGCTTTAGGGCTCAGGGTTTTGGGTCCCACGTGAAGTCTACTGTCAGGATTTGAGGCTCCAAAGTTAGGATAATCAGTTCGACCTCACTGCATGGCATGACGACGAAGCCCAAACCCATAAGCCCTACAGTCTAAATCCTACATCCTCGAGCCTCAACCCTAGACCCTAAATCTCAAATTTTCAGACCCTGAACACCATTTCAGCTTTGTGGCTCAGGGACATGATCAATGGCGCATCCCTACACCTCAAACCAACACGCGCACATGTATTCCCGGGTTCCAGAAGCTTGAAATCAAGCCAGGGTTGAAGCCTACTTGGAGGATCATGGGACTTAGTAAATAAGGTTATAAGTCCCTTAATTGGGTTATAAGTATAGTTACCCACAATAACCCTACTTACTAAGTCCCATGATCCTCTAAGTATGCTAGTCGAGAGTTCGTTCAGAGGGCTCCGAAGGCGGGATCAGGGCAGGTGGTGCAGGCCTAAACAAGAGTCCCAATGTAAGGAATCTTTAACCCTACCTCATCCCACTTTTGAGGTCTCTGATGTATGGGGTTTATCCAAGTCTTACAATCCGCAAGATCTGAACCGTCGACTTTTTGGGGTTTAGGGCTCCAGCCTGTAACATCTGCGGCGGAGGCTCTCCGAAAAAGTGGATCATGCCCTTGAGGATACCGTCCTGTCATCTTTTAGAGGTTCAGGGTAAGGGTTTAGGGTTTAGGGTTTAGGGTATAGAGTTTAAGGTTTAGGGTCACGATTTCTAGGCTTCTGCTAGTTCGGTCCAGAACGCACCCCGAAAGCCCAAGGGATATCATCTTTCAAACCTGGAGAGCACCTAGAACTCGCTGGGGCCGGAAAGCACTCATAGGATCCCAAAACGTGAAGACGCACCATACCCGGGAAAAAACAAACTTAAACCCTAAACCCCGACAACTTGAACCCCTAAATCACCCTAGAACCTAAACCTCTTAGATCCCCGCACCACGCATGAAACTACAAGGCAACAGGAGGCCGCTACAGGTAACGATGCAGAGGGCTACTACGGCTTCAAGTGCTGGTGGTCTGCGCAGAAACCTTAGGCTGAATTATGGGTTTGATCTACGCCTTAAAGAATATTAGTCCGGCTTTGGGGTACACAGTATCCTTAGTACTTATTCAAGCTTCTACTGTTTTTGGGGGGCAGGTCGGGAAGTCAAGAGACCCAGCGTCCTTGTCGCTGGAGTGCGGGAAAAGAGGGAGGCCTGACGCACGTCGGAAGTCCGGTCCCCGAACGCTGAACCCCAAATACTAAATCTGGGGTTTAGGGTTTAGGGTTCGTAAAATCCGAAAAACCTTAAACTCCAAAGACCCTTAGACTCAAGCCCTAAGCCCATTTCCAAGCAGGGCTTCAGGGTGGTAGGGGTGTAGGGTATCTAGTCAAGCGGCTTGGAGGTTGGATGTACCTGCTTGGGCTTGGAGCCTACATGGGGCTTCAGATCGAGATTTCTGGAAGGACTGTACGACCTGGGCTTTGGGCTACTCGAAGCAAAGATTGGCCCTCAACCCTAAACCCACTGTAGAATCCATTGTGAAACCCTGCGGAAAAACCAAGAACCTGTTCCCCTAAACCCTAAACCCTAAACCCTAAACCCTAAACCTGTTCCACATTTGCTGATACGCGCGCCCTCCACTCTGAAGCACCCGCCCACCACGCCTACGAAGAGCTCCGCGCAGATGCACCCGAGGCTCCACATGTCCTCAGCATGCACGGCTTCTTCGCGAGTTTTTTGGCGAGTGTAGAGCTTCGGTTTTTCGGATTTGGTGCTTGTAGACTGCTGGTGGCCTTGTAGAGTCGGTCGCAAGTTTGAGTCAGGAGGCGGCCGCGCAGCCGACCGGCGATCCAAGCAACACCTGGCCAAAACTGATTAGATCAGCGTTCTGTCAGCTTTAGATGGGGGTTTCCGAAAATAGGGGGCCCTAATATAGTACCCCAAAAAAAAGGATCCTTATTATAAGGACCCCAAAAAAGATACCCCTAATTTTCGGAAACTCCCAAATAGGCTGCGTCTGTCGGCCCGGAGGTGGCTGCAAATGCAAAGAGATGCTAGGTTTTTGGTGGGAATAACAAGTTGAAGATAGTACAGGGGCCATACCTGTTTACTGTAGTACCAGTTTCTGAAGACCCTGATATCGACTCCTGAAGCCTCAATACTCGAATTCGCAGATCCCTGAACCGAAGAACCTGGGCGGTTGATCGTGCTCTTTTAGCGGCAAGCGATGCCCTCAACCCGGAGCCCTAACCCCTGAAGACCAAAACCCCGAAACCTAGAAACTGCCTCTGGCGCTCGGTAGGGTAGTGTCTGGACAGTGACGTCCTGGTTGCTTCAGCTTTTTTTTTTTAATGCAGTAGCCCTTTCTCTCCGCAGACTGAAGCATTGGGGTTTTAGGCTTCGGGGTCTAGGGCTTGAAGGCTGCACGGGGTCAGGGTCTTGAGGGTTAGATATAATTAGAGCCCTTTCATTAGGACGACACGCGGATGTTCTTGCCAAGTATTCAGACCTGTCTATATTATATTCTATACTATATTACACTATATTATACTATATTTTACCATATAATACTATATTATACTATACTATTCTATATTGGGGTCCGAGGGTTTCGACTTAAGGAGCCAGGCCCTGGGCCTTCCGAGCATGGAATGCCCCTGTCGTCTTCTCACTCTTCCTGGGTTTAGGATTTAGGGTTTAGGGTTTAGGGTTTAGGGTTTAGGGTTTAGGGTGCCTCCACCTCAGCCCTTCGGGTCCCGCGCTGAAGAAATCGTGCGGCTTTGTATCTCTAGAAAACGAGTCGAAAAAACTGAGGCTTCTGACCCCTCGAAACGTTAGAATCCTTGGTGGAACCCGCATAGAACCCACATAAACACACCGAACATAAACCTTGCCAGAACCCTAAGCTGCAGCAGTGCTTGCCCATTGTCGGGCTCTGCTCGTCCTCCGCGAGCCACTCACCCTGGTTGGCCCCACCGAAGTCGATCAACTCGCCGGAGGCTGCTGGTGTTTGAAGTTTCGGGCTCGGAGTTGTTTGCAGCAAGGTCTGACTTGTAGAGCGAAGGGCCCTGATTTAAACTTTGGCTTTCAGGGCTTAAGGTTTAGGGCTTTCGGTCCCAACTCAAGAATTTCTCAGGTATGAACGACCTGCAACCACCCAACTGCCTGGACCCAACCTGGAAACCTACAGTCGGAAGCCTGAAAATGTACAGCCAAAGCCCCGCAACCTTTGAACCCTCCATCCACTAAGCATACGTCCTACCTCGTCAGGCCTTCTGCTAAACAAGGCGGCCGATGTAGGATATCCCAGCACTTATGAACACATCAACAGTCCCAAAACCCACTGAAGCCATCGAATTCTCGCACGACATGCACAAGAACCGAAAACAAGCCTAAACACAACAGAAGATCAGAACACCCCACCCAAAACGTGTGTATATATGTACACTTGTACAGAAAAGAGAGAGAGAGAGAGAGAGAGAGAAATAACAAAAACAAAGAAAACAAGACTCACCCCCTGCCGACCGTTCCCCAGAAAGGAGGCCTTGAAGTGAGGTACCCTGTCGCCCAGCAGAGAAGGCCGAGCCACGCCCTCCAGCAGCACATTCTCCTAGGCAGGGTTTAGGGTTCAAGGTTCAAGGTGTCAGGGCAAAGAAGTTTTAGGGGTTCAGGGTTTTAGAGCTTTCGGGTTCCCGGGGTTTTTAAGAATTTGGGACCCTAGGTGCGGGAGTTCGGGCCTAAGACTTTGGGCTTAGCGTCTGTAGGGTCAAGTTTCCTCGCCTGGCGGTCTTAGGGTTCGGGTTTCGGTTCGATGCTTTCTTTTGGAGGGGGAGGGTGAAGGCTTGGCGAAGTTTGTTTTGGGTTCTGGGTTGGATGGCAGGTTCAGGGGCTTGCTACACACGGTGCAGGGAAGCAGTGTGGCGTTGTCCCAGGGCAACCAACGGTCAGGACATCTAACAAAGAGGTCGCACAAAAACCCCGAACCCTAAACCCTAAACCCTAATCTTGTACGACATACCCGAAACCGGACTCTAAGTCTTAAGGACTCTATAGCGTGATACAGATAAGTTATGTAAGAACCTAGCAGAAACATCGATGGAATTGGGCTTCGAACTCCCGCCCCAGCTGAGGACAAGCAAAAACCGGTCTTCTAACAAAACAGAGCACCGAAAATCAAGAGCAAAGAATCTGCACCAAGAGGCCTACAGAAATCCTGCTGGGTTTCAGCGACCCTTCCGGGTTGCTATAGGGGTACCTTTTTGGGTTCAGGCATTTAGGTTCAGAACTTGCTCATACGGCCCTTCTAGAAACCAACTACTTGCCAAGATTAGAACAGGACGTAATCTGTCGAGTGCTCCAAAACAAAACGAGGACTTAGGGTTGTAGGGTCTAGGGCTTCAGGTTTAGAACCCCCGGAAAACTTGTGGTATCGAAGGTGCTGGCTTCAAATCTCCGTGGATGATGGGCACGTTCTGGAGGTATTCCAAAGCTGACCTTGGGCAGCCCAGTCCGCCGACTGCTAGAAGCAACAGTAGCCACTGAAAGAAGTAACGGTGTGCAACAGTGATTCTGACAATACCCGGAGCCGTGATTTTCGATAGTATAAGCGAAAGTTGCCACAACAGGCAAGCGGAAAACACCAGGAGTGGAATGGGTTGCAGTCACGAATACTAGTGTCGATCATTGTGGAAAAATCGCGCTAGCCAGTCGGCAATGCTTCTGGTGTAGACAAATGCAGAGAAGGAGAAGCAGAAGCAACAGCAGCAGCAACACCAGACACAACTGACAAACACCACCGACAAACGCCACCACCACCACCACCACCACCGCCACAACAACAACAACAACAACAACAACAACAACAACAACAAACCTAAAGCCCCGAATCCCAAACCCTAGTCAAACAACACAACACAGCATACAGGCTCTGTCTTTGCATGCAGCGCACAGAAGCTGCGCCGTTGCAGCTCGGACGGTCGTCAAGGGAAGACCTCTTAGATCACCTCGAACCAAGAGCCTCAAAAAGGTGAGATGAAGACGGGGTGTAGGGCTTTGGGGTTTGGCGGTTTAGGGTTTCGGGGTTTCGGGGTTTGGGGGTTTAGCGGTTTAGGGGTTTAGGGGTTTAGGGTTTAGGGTTTAGGGGTTTGGGGTTTGGGGTTTAGGGGTTTAGGGGTTTAGGGCTTAGCGTTCAGGGGTTTAGGGTGAAGACTCAACACAAGTGCTTGAACAGGAACAGGCTAACACTCGAAACCTTGAAACTAAACTTTAAGTTCTAAGGACTCAAACGTATTCCTCGACTCAACTGTAGCTCTAGTGGACCTGAGAAAGTCTCTACAGCTTCTGCAAGATGCCGCAGCTTTGTATGTTCCCACAACTATTATACAGCACTGGATTCAACAACACATATCCGGCCATGCTAAGCTCTGAGCACTGCAGGTTGTATGTAGCTCAGGTTTGGATTCAGACTTTAGGAGGTCGACCGAAAAAAGGGAGTCTCGAGACGGCTTCAACCTGACCGAATTGGGTTTTTGTGGGTTTTATGGCGGGCTTCGTAGCTCGGAACCCCTATCCCTTCGCCCTAAAGCCTCTAACCCTAAACCCAGATCGCTGCTGTTTGCATGAAGACTATACCATCGACAACCCAGCGTCAAAACCCCAAAAGAGCCATGATAAGCCGTTGTGGAACCTGGAACAAGCCTGCAGCATGGCCTATGTCATCAACTGTCGTTCTTCGGTGTTGGTGTTCATGCCAGCAGTCTCTTGATCTAAATTAGGATCCCTTGCGCACGTTTAGGGCTTGTTTACGGTTAGGTTTTAGCGTTCGGGTGTAGGATTCAGGGGTAGGATTCACGGGTTAGAAGCGGGCTTAGGGCCACACACGCGCGTATCAGGCCATGTGCTTTTCTTCAGTTTTTCATATCCGGAGAAGAGGTGAG